AGAGAGAGAGAGAGAGAGAGACTTATGTGAGCTATGCATTAAGAGCTTAATGCAATAAATGCTAAATAAATTCATTTTTGTTTTCCCATTTAGGATTAACTCTTTTATTATTATACAAGTTTTCTTTTATATATATAATACGATAAATAAATACAATATTGTATATAACATACAGAATATTCTTTGTATGTTCTGTGTCCGACATCTATATAGCACATATGGAGAGCCGATTGATTATTATTACAACTGATACAATGTGTATATACTGTACAATTGTGACAATACTATTGTCTATTAGTGTATAAATGTGTACAACCCTTGAAATCAGGGCAAATGTAACATGTTATATTAAATGAATAGGAGTGTATACCATCATGTATAATTTGATTTGCAAATCAAATGTATTGTTTGCACGCATTCTTGTCAAGAGTATTAATAAAATGTATTGATTAATCTAATTGTATATTGTATAGTATATTGAATATTTAATTTATCACTTTTTGTCGCATACAATGTTATGTGATATTAATTACCATAATTTATTGCATTTAATAAATAATTAAATATTCATTAATACAATTGGATTATTTCTAAAACCTACATTTAATTGTTCATCTATTATTAATAAACATGATCAGTTGTTATTTCACTTTGATATGTCTTGCCATTTACTGAATAATTTATATAATTATTTAACATTTGAATTTACATGTATGTAATGAATGTAAAATACCATTTAATGATAGTTTAACTAATTATGTATTATATTTATGTTAATTTATATAAGGTTAGATAGTTTGCATTAAAGTTTGAGTTCGATAATTTGCACTGTATACCAGAAAAACATTTAATATAATAAAATTATGACAATAGTAAATTAATTTTAGCATAATAATTTTCATATATAAGAGATATATTATAAGAATTTGTTTTTAACCAACTTAAATGTTTGTACTAAAAAATGCATGGTAAGAAATATGGCTTATATCCGTAAACATAATATTTGATGACAAAGTTATATTTTCGACGACAAAATATCTAGTTATAAATATCTATGAATTATATATCATATATAAAATATGATTAAATATAGTGTAGTGTATATACAGTGTATACATGTATGTGAAAAACACAATCAATCACTGGTATAAATAAGTCGATGAATGATCGCACAAAATGTTAGACTAATCCATCATTTTATCACTCAATTGAATTGATTTTGCTCTTCATTTTACTCTCTCTCTCTCTCTCTCTCTCTCTCTTAATCCTAAATGGGAAAACAAAAATGAATTTATTTAGCATTTATTGCATTAAGCTCTTAATGCATAGCTCACATAGCTCTCTCTCTCTCTCTCTTTCCGACAACAAATAAAAAACAATAATTTAATTATTATAATTACATAGATTATTAAATGACTTTCATAAACAATATGTTTGAATAGCAAAATGAAATAAACCAGCATTAATTAATTATTTACAAATATACTAGATAATTATTTATTAATATGATTTATTATATGCATTTCTGAACATAATTATGTGCATTATACAACATAAAATTAATATGATCGTAATATCATGAAATAAATTAAAAATCTGTATAAATATTTGTGTTAACACGTCTGGATAAACATTACATAATTTGACACTATTGAAAATTTATCACTATAACCATATTTAGTTTGATAAATATTTTAAACTTACAATGAGCATATTGTGTCAGGAAACATTTTCTAGAGTTATCTAAATTATTTACACGTATACATTTTCGTGATTCATCGGCGTTCACATAAAAACTAAGATAATATATTTAAAAATTTAATTATATACACTAGATGTGACAATAGTGACAGTTATATTTACGCCTTGTCACTAAAACTCTATTATTACTAATTATCATAATAAATATGACAATGGATTTTACTGGAAAGGTCGCATTGGTTACAGGTATACTAAACCTAAAATTTTAATCATGATTAACAAAATTAACAAAATACTAAACAATAGGCTCGTCATCGGGTATCGGACGAGAAGTGGCCCTAAAGTTGTCGTCTATGGGCGCGGATGTAGTGATCACTGGTCTGGAAGAGGAGGGCATCTATGAAGTGGTCAACACATGTCAAACACAATACGCGGGCAAAGCGTTGGGAGTTTACGGCGACTTAACCGACGATCAGTTTGTCAAACAATTGGTGGAGAAAACTGTGCAAGAGTTTAGCAAAATAGATATACTGGTCAATAACGCGGGCATCTTGGTCAAAACTGATATTGAAGCGCCAGGCTATATGGCCTCGTTTGATCGGGCAATGCGGGTAAATGTGAGATCGATGCAATTGGTGACACACCTATCGGTGCCGTATTTGGTGGCTACCAATGGCTGTATTGTTAACACATCCAGTCTGTGCGCTAATAAACCTGTAAGCTTATAGACCAAAATTGTGCCTGATACTTTTTTATAATATTTTTTAAAAAATACAGACTGAACTTCAATAAGTAACAATTTTTTTACCTTATCTAATGAGTCCCTTACATTGAGGTCATATTGTATTACAATTTTAAATTTTATGTTTAGTATACTGTATATGCATTTAATGTTTTATATTGTAGTTCCGGACGGAAATCGCGTACTGTATGTCTAAAAGTGCTGTCGATATGTTTACCAAGTGTTTGGCACTAGAGTTGGGACCCAGAGGGGTTCGAGTCAATAGTGTTAAGTAAGTATTAATTACTTAATTAATTAGTTAATTCTAAATATGATCATGACCAATAATTACATATGACAAATATATAGCCCGAGCGAAATTCGCACCCCATTAATAAGCACTGACATAGAAATTCACGAACGCTTTTGGCAACGGAACAGCCCATTGGGCCGAATCGGCGAACCGGCAGACGTGGCCAACGCCGTGGCATTCCTCGCCTCACCGATGGCTGCGTTCATAACAGGCGCTCATTTGCCGGTCGACGGCGGCTATCGGTTAACATCCGATAGAAGTTAGCAATTTATTAATTTAATTAATATATAAATTTTATATTTTTTGTAATTTAATTAAATCATGCTGTACTTATTAGTTATCATTAATATTTTAATTAATATATAATGATTTTACAAAAATAATACAAATATGATTTTTATAGATTAAATATAACAAAGATTTTTTTGGGTTTTTGTTCATTAATATAATAATAAATGTATTATATGAATTAACTTATTATAGTCAAATATCTCAATTACAGTTTATATGTTATACCAACTTTATTACTATTTTATTTAACTAAAAAATTTTAAGTTTAATTAATTAGTTAAAGTTTGTGTGTGGTAATGGCGAGAATGTGATATAATTTTAACCAAGTTATTATTAAAATAGTTTTGTGTGACTAATCTATTAATTGATTAAATTATGCATTTTGTATTAAATTAAAACCAAAAATATACAGTGAATACACAGCAAAATGTACAATAAATGTATGTAGAAAATAGTAAAACGTCATTTAAAAAAATAGTATAATTTTATTTTGTTGTGTTTATGCGATAATATTAGCGCCTAAAACTCATTAGTGTTTTTTTTTCAGTTTAATGTTATATAAAAACAGTTAACTCTGGCTTTGATAGTATGAAGGGATGTATAAAAATGCTATGATATTTGAAATACAATCATAATGTAATTAATTTTTTGTGCTTTTACT